TCGAGGTGTATTCTTGGTAAAAAGACACACATTTATTCTATTATTTAGAGAATCTCATTCATTTTATTTTTATCACATCATCCATACGCACAATTCCTTTTATCGGGCCAATTTTGACATTGTTAATGTTTTCGCATGATTTGCGTTTCTTTGATATTGACTCGCGTCAGTTTTGTGAGCTAATTAAAATTTATGATATGGACTGCACTTAAATGTAATTTAAACTTGTTCTTTTGGTTGCCGTTTATTTTTTAATTTTTTTCTTTTGGCGTAATTTTATTCATCATTCCATTGACCCAATTCATACAAAAAAAAAAAATGTGTTTCGTCATTTTGGACTGCTGGCAATAATAGCTATTGCAAATTACTTTTACTTTTGTTGTGTTCTAGAACGAGTATTTTATACATGCAGACAACTTATGCTAATTGAGCAAAGCTGAATTTAAAGTTAATGCGACATAAGAAATGTCTGGTCGCAAAGCGCAAAACGCTACTCAAGAGTTGAATTAACATATTTATGCGATTTATGCGAGCGCCTCTTCATCATCATATCAAATCAGAGAGTCTTTTGATGGCTTTCCTGCAAATGCAAAGTGCTAATTTCTGCTCACCTGTCATTTCCAAAGTGGTTTCCAAAGTGGCTCTCCCAGCGTTCGTTTCGTTTCAAGGACTGTTTGTAAATGAAATTTGTAGAATTTGCTTCCGCTTTGGACTTTTATTGTAATTTTATTGCCAGCGCTTAGCTATATAGAAACCAGTTATTATACTTCGACATATATCCATAATTCTTGGTATTTATAAATTACATTTTACATTCCGTGACTCGACGATGATAATGGTAATGATGATGGGAGTGTTAATTAAGAAAATTCTATTGATATATTTAATTTGTTAATTGTTTTTATTGCCATTTTTTCTGCTAAGTGGTTTTATATATCTTCCTAAAATATAATCTAACTAAAATTTATATTTAATAAGAAAAAGAACATGAACTTGTACACAGTTAATGTCAACCCGGTAACAAATTAACCAATCTTTGTGTTATATGCATATTTATAATGTCATAACTCACGCTTAATCAGAAAAATATTGTATACTGTAATGCGTTCAATGAACGTTGTCAACTGAGGAAAAGCATAAAAAATAAAAATCAAAGGAGAGAAAAAAAAAAAAAAACAGACAACGAGAAACAGAGAAATATATCTCAAAGAACAATACGCAAATTAATCACCACCCACACGGACTGACGTGGAGGCCTCCATTCCGTATTCTCCACAAAAATGCGACAGTTAAGGCATTTGCATTAAGCATCGCCTAGTCACATAAATTTTATTGCGTATACGCAATGGTGCAGCAAAAGTAGCAGCAGCTGTCTGAGGAGAAGTAAGGACGGATGAATTGCTGGTCAAAAGCAGCCACTGGCGCACATGATTTTTAATATTTATTTGCCCGGCCCCAATGATGACGTTATGGCGGCCACTTTGCCTAGTCCCGGGACAGCTGCCGGGTGTCGTTTTCAGTTTTCATGGTGTTTGGCACAATGACAAATTACAAGTTGAAAGTTGAGTGAACTTTGTCGCGACACTGTCCACTTTTCGTATGACTCCCTCGGCTCTCACTCGCCTCCTTCTCCACTCGCCCTCTCCTTCTTTTTCGTAGAGTATCTATCATATTTGCTGATGATGTCTTCTGTTTGCTGTCACCTCTTGTTTACGAATTGAGTTTTGCAGTCCAACAATCGCTGGCTGGAAATTCTGGAAATTGATGAGGCTCTTGTTGTTTGGCAAATGAGGCGCAGATAAGCGTCAACTTTGACGCCCTCTTCTTCTTGGTCATAGTATTTGTTTTATTTTGGGTCTGGCGATTTTGCTTATCAACATACACACGCACACATATACATACACACTCCCATCCAAGTATCATCTACTTTTGCGCCTTTTTCTTCAGCAATAAGAAGCACTTTGGTATTTTTGTTGGTTGCTTGCCACCTGAACTCAACGAACTTGCTGTGTGCTCCGATTTATTTGTGATTTTGTGCGTGACACATTTGTGAGAATTGCTGCTCATTCATTTCCTCACTTTAGATGCCCTGATTTTGTTTTATTCAGAACTTTGTTGTGTACTTTATGATGACTTTGTAACCTATAGATAAGTATATTTTCATTAGACAACTTTAGTTTTTGTGTGCATAGAAACGTGATCTCAATCCAACATAGAGATGATTACAACATGTTTTAATTTCAATTGCATGACTAAATGGTTTATCTTAAAGTAGTTCTAGTCTAACTCTAATGCTAAGGCTGCTGCTTCGACTTATAAAGTCTTTCACAACATACCCAGAATTATTTTCCATGTACGTAATATATGCAATCATTGCTGTAATCCCACTTTTACTATTTCTGCCCCAATCAAAGTAAATCCGCTGTGAGTGGTGTGCTGCTTGTGTGCTGCATTTGAAATGCATTTCAACTCGTCTCCAGGCTCATTAGACTTGCATATGCTTGCGTTTTCGAGGTAAGCATAGATTTCCCTTTAACAGAACAAACTGAATCCCCAGTGCCAACAGAGAAGCAGCTTGTGCTCCACTTTTGCTGCTTAACTTTCCTTTTTCTATTATGTTTTTCTCTCAATTTGTGTGTGTTTTGCATTTAGTATTTGGATTTGTGTTTATGTGGGGTTGCGCTTGTTATTTTCTTTGAATGTGCAACATTTCCTGTTCGGTAGCTTTGCCTTTGACGTTAATCTTTTACTGGCAAATGTTGTAGCATCATTCATTAAAATTAAATCAAGCAAAATTCTAGTTTCGTATCATTTCTCAAAAAGATTGAGTGCGAGGAACGACAACGATTATTGGAATGGCAAAAGGAAGACCTTGATCTTTAGATTATCACATCAATAAATGGTATTTTTGTTTTTATTCTGTTATTGTTATTGTTTGTGTCTCTGCCAGCATCGTTGTCGTCTTCTATGGGCCTGTTGTTGGTTTTGCGTCTTGTCTTGCGTCTGTTTGTCTTTGACGTGAAAGAAACGAAAACGAAATTGAAATTCTACTTTGACGCATATATAGTATATATATATATAGCTACCACATCCAAAGCAAACGGAAACTGGTGGAACCAGTCAAACAGCCATCGAAGTCGCACCAAAAGAACTTCTTGAGCTAATTAAGAGTTGCCATGCGCAAATAAAAGATATTTTCATGTTTGCCTCCAACATTTGACTAGCATTCTCGATTGCAGCTCTCTTCGACTTTTAGATTTTTTTTTTTTCAAATGTATTTTAATTTCCCGGTTGTCAGTCACAACATTGATGTAAATTGCTGTCCGCATTAGTATATAGTATGACTGTTATACAAATGGCGCTTACGTGATTACATAAAAAACCATAAAAAGTGATTTGAACTTGAAATTGCTAAAAGCGTCATGCAATTGAAACAAAGCTAAAACAACATAAGCTTACACAAAATTCACTTAACTTTTTTTTTTTTACCCTGTAAACAAATTGATTGGAAACGATGGACAATAAGCTGAACATGTTTTTTAAATCGAGAGTATTTTGATTAAAATAAAAAAATTCTTATTAATAATACAAATATAATACAAATTATAATAATATATTTTTCCAGTTTGATTCATCGATAAATTCAAATAGTTTAATGTGGATGCACCAATTCGGTTTCAATTCTAGAGGGTATCTCTTTGGCAAGCACTCTCTGCCTAAGCACTCTTGTTTAAAAGTAAATCTGTGGAAATAAAACGTACTAACCATAAAATTGTTACAATGGCGAGCCAGGCGCATTAACGTCAACAACAACAACAGAACCAACAACAACATTAACAACAACTACAACTGTGGCAACTGTGCTTCATATTGGCAAACAGATCAAATTGAATAGAAACAAGCCGAAAGCGAAGAACACTAATACTAATACTTAACAACAAGTACAAAACGAGTGTAAAATGCTCACCAATTACGTGTGCAGCCACAAAGCACAGCTGCTCTGTCTTGTGATCGAATGCTGTATTTAGCATTTAGACTAAACTGCAGCGGAAAGTTAACAAAAGCTCATTTGATGACACACTTTTGTGGTCAAAATGTTTGAAATTCGTTAATTCGCTCAGAAAATTAAATCATGCTCTGAATTATCTGTAAGTTGTTTCCTTGATTTAACAACGTTTACTTAAATTTCAAGCAAAACTAACTCAAGTATAATTTTACAGTAGATATAGAATACAACATTGAAAAGTGTTGTATTTAACTCTGTTCAGGCCATCAATTCGAGTACACTCTAAATTAAAGCATTGTTAGTCATGTTCAGTTGTTTAGAGTTGTTTTAATTGATTGAAAACGATTAGCATTCAATGTTCGTCACAATTGAAACTCAATTGCTTCGAAACTACTCGGCATTGTTATTGTTGTCGCTGTATTATCCAGTTCTTCGGGCAATCAAAGTACACTTGACAATGACAATTATTACATGGATGTGACCGTTATCCCTTCGAGTGCGGACACACCCACTCAATGGAAGGATAATTGTGCGTTACGCATACGCCTGCGTGAGTTTGATTTTATTGCCTGAACCCTGAGGCTAAAGCCAATTTGTGCGGCCAAGCAATTTGGGCTAAGGAAGCCAAACAAACCAACGCCAACAACGAAAAAACGAAAGATAATTTTGGGCTCATGGAAAGTTTTTTTTTTTTGTATTTTGGGAGGATGCAAACATACAACAACATATAAATTGAATTGCAGGAAGGGAATATCATGGGCGGCCAAGGGAGTCCCAATGTCGGAGGCCATGGCATCATTCATTAATACACCCTTGTCATTGCCAGGAAGCTGTCGACCCATATGTGCTCGAGACCAAATGGGATATCATTGGGCATCGAGCATTGAGTATTGAGCATCGAGTATCGAGTGTATTGGCCATTATGATTTGGCTGAAACTGTCGTCGTAATTGATTTCGTTGGTCGGCAATGCTAATTAAGTTAGTCAGCCCCTATACGATTTCCTCAGTTTAATCAGTGATTCATCGATAACATTTGTATGGCAAATTATTATGTAACAATAATTAGACTTTTATGCAATTAACTTATGGTGCTATCCCAATGGCCGTGCAAATCAAATGGCGCCTGAAATGTCATAGGTCGTCGCTGAGTTTCGAACTTTAGCTGATACCATTCAAAGCAAAATGCTTCGGACTTGAGCCAATGCAGTGCTGCCATGGGAAAGTGAAGTTTACTCAAAACACGACCCGCCTCGAATATTGTCTCAGGCATGGGAGTCCGAGTTCTGGTGAGTATGCGAAGTTTCACTATAAATTGGAGAATAATTGGGATTTTATTACATGATTATAATCGTAAATATACTACTGACTCACTCATATGCATGCCCTCCTTAGGGTTTAATAGACAGGAGTACGTGATTACCAAGTCTTTGTAGTTAGTGTAGAGTATGTTGGTATTAAAGTAGGCTGTGCCGCTGTGACATTAGTGGGCAATATTTCAAATACAATCGAATCGACTTTGTACTTACGATTGTTCTTCACATTATAAGATGCACAATGTCGCTGATATCTCGTAAATGGTAGTGGAGTTGTTGCATATGCATACCAGACACCCAAAAGCTATGCGAAGAAATATCTAAATAAAATGCATAAGCAAGTAACACGAACAAACCTTTGTCTTTTCAACATTTTGCATTATTGGCATATCAGGACATTCCTTGACTTGCAGTAATTCTTTGTGGTCATCTGGATCGTGTCCATTTATGGCAATAGACATCAGCAGCAAGAGCAACAAGCTAAGGGAAAATGCTTTGACGTCTATGTTAGTTGATATCAGGTTTTAATCTCAGACTTACATTGCGAAACTGTTCATATTATTCAGGTAACTATACTATATTGCAAAACGAATTCAATTTTAACAACTTTAGAGTTTGGAATGAATTAGTTTCGGTTTTCAAGCGTGTGAAATTGTTGGAATTAATGTTTCGTATTATGACTATTTTTGTTTTTTGTATTCAACATTGTTAGTTGGGTTACTTTTCACGTACTTTTCTCGAACTTTTCTCTCACTAAACACGCGTGTTGACTTGTAAACTCGAACTGAGTTTTGTTTTAAATAATAGCTTTATATAGTTAACAATTTTCACTTGTTAGCTAGCAGCTGAACTACTAGCAATTAAAAGGGTGGACTAAAATTGTAGTGTTTTGAATAACTTTTCTTGTTTTGAATAACTACCACATGTTTCATCTCAAGTCGATCTGTTTTTTTGGCGTACCTGCTGAGGTTTCTAGGGAATTTTTGTTTGTTCTTACAACACATGTGTTTTTTATAGCCCATAAAAAAGGGTTGAAAGTTGTGTTCATTCCTGAACCCCTATTGCTTATAAGATTGTAAAAATAAATCAATACTTTGTCATTGCGAATTTCTTTGCTGAATCATTAGAACTTGTGAAATTAGCTACAGTATTATTATGGTGCATTTGACACAGTCATGGGTAAGAGCTTACATTGGGTGTGTGACCATATTCTACTTGCAGATAATCAGTTTACAAAATGCATATATCTGTCGCACTCGTTTTACTAAGCTCGTTTTTATATTTCGTTAACTGTCAACGATGCTGTGAATGTCCAGCAGCTTCTTGCCACAATGAACAGTGGCCCTGTTGTGATATTAACAGACCATGGTGGAAGAAACTATTTGGCTGAGGAATATATAAAAAAAATACATTTAAAATAAATGTGAAAAAAAATGCATTTTACTGGTTATTCTACACTACTTTCATTGTTCTAGCAATTTAAAATATTGCTCATACGCGCTGTTGTAAACGTTTCTTGCTCTTCATAAAAATTCTTTTTGTTGCTTAACATTTATTGCTTTTATTTTGCGATTTTGGTTTTTTTGTATTGTAGCTTTATTTTTATGGGAATTACGCGCAACAATTATGCACGTAAGCATTCTACATTGGGCCCCGCCCTTCCACTTTTCCAAATCGCAACCACTCGTCGTCTGATGCTTTATTCAATTTGTGCTATGAAGCGAAAACTTTTTTGTTGGCTTTTTGGCAACACTGGCTCTAATTTTGTTGTTGTTGTTTGCTGCTGTTGTTATTGTTGTTGTTTGCTGTTGTCGTTCTATGTCGACGGAAGTGTGTTGTTAGAATCTATCGCATATAGACGTGTCAACAGTTGCCCTCTGGCCCTGTCCTTTAATGATTTTTTTGTGGTTGTTTTATTTTTATTAAGCCTGTCGCCATGTATGCGTCCTACCTTAATCTGACTTTTAAGTCAAGTCATCCGTTAATGATTAGTGATCCAGTTTGATTATTTTGAGAGATTTTTTGGATTATTTCTAATTCACAAAGTGAACTTGAACCATCTAAAATTATAATAGATATGTATTCGATCTGCCTGAGAGTTTATCTTATTTTTCTTGAACTCAGGCTATATAATTGAAAAAGAAAAATGCAAATCCGAATAATTTTACTAATATCGTTGTAAATATATTCCAAATATATGCATGGCTGGACCATTATAATCTTGAAACTTTTTGATAAACAGCCGACACATAAATAGCAAACATTCATGATCTGCTTATACTTATTTCCAAGTTCCATGTTAAATGAAATTTGAATGCCAAAGTTCTATGATAAGTTGCAAAGTTATGTTTTGTTTTGGTTGCCTGACAATCTAACAATTAAGTACTTTTGTTATTGCAAATAAATTATAATTACAACTGCTGTTCATGTTTTTCTCAGAAAGATGTTGGCTACTTACTCTGCCAGATAAAAAGACAAAAATTATTGCACTTTTCAGCAACATTTGCTGGCGACGCTTTCTCAAAGTACTTTTACTGCTGTTTCTCTTCTTTTTAAGTTTTTACAACAATATTTGATGGTAATTAATTGCTCTCTTCTTTTGACATTGTGCTTGATTAGGCAGAGTGGAGTGTGAAGCAAAGTTTTGTTTAAGTATGCGTCTTAAAATGAAGATGTCAAAGGTGCTGAACAAAATCAAGCGGATGCTAATGCTGCCAAAGATCACGTGCCGAAAAAAATGAAAATGATTTCACTGATTTCACTTAATTAAAAACAAATTAAAAAAAAGAGAAAAAACGTTCTAAATATAATAATAGAAAGCTTTGCTTGCCTTGAAATTGAGGAACACTACATATTAAATGTTCTTAATTTAATACTAAGCTGTTTGCTACATAAAACATAATATTGAATATTGAGTGCATTTTTAGCTAATATACTTTTTAAGACTTTATCATGATATGATATGATAGTTGCCATGGTCTTGAGAAATGTATCTGAAAATGAGATTAAGAAAAAGTGAGTAAGCAAAGATGAAAGTGCAATTAGTTGACTACTTTGTTTATAAAGTTTTCTTGTTTTTCGTTGTTTTTAGCCACTCAGAAAACGCTGAAGCAAGTGCAATTTTTAGAACTTAACGCGCAGCAATAACTGTGCAACATTTGGACAAATTGCAACGACAAAGTACGCGGCAATGTGTTGGCCGTATAAATTTCATTTACGCCAGTTAAATTAATTACTGTCAACACATGCGAGGCGGTGCGACAGTAACAACAAAAACAGCACAAATAACAACAACTGTCGGCCACAAAAACTAAAGCAGGCCAAGCTAAAGTCCAACAAAGCTAAATAAGAAGAAGCTGAAGATGGAATGGGGCCAGGGGTGCCAGGGTGAGAAGTAGGAACGGCGTCGAGCGTGTAGCGAGCATAAACACAAAGTCATAAAGTTTTTAACATAAAAGCATTTAATTTTATTGCATTTTTGGGCAGCAGCCAGTGCCGCAGGTCGTCCGTCAGACAGTCAGCCAGCTAGCCAGCCAGACGACTGGCACGGCATGGCGTGGCACGGTTCTGGGCACTGGGCATGGTCTACTGGTCGGATGGGGGCCAACTTAATTTGGTGCAAATCAAGCAAAACTGCAACAGCAGCTGGCGAGGTCGAAACTAGCTCGTTGCTGCCCGGCAGAAGCTCAACCAAATACGCAGAAACTTTTGCTAAAATTTGTAGCACCCTGGACAGCAAACTGACTCACTATCCGACTGACTTACTGAGTGACTGACTGACTGACGAACTGACTAACTGACTGACTGGCGGACCGACTGTCAGACTAAGTGGAGGAGTGATGTTCCCAAATAGCTCATTTGCGCATCGCTGACGTCAGCTTCTAAGCAAAATATATAAAAGAAAAAAATGCCCATACACAAAGCCTCGGCATGCATCCTAGTCAGAGCAGCAAACTCTTCAGTATTTTTGTTTAGACATCTAGTGAAATACATATACTTGTAATAGAAACCCAGCTAGTGAGAAATGTGCCGCGCAAAAATTTTAGCTGTTTCTTGTTTCGCATTGTGTGTTTTTGGCAAGCCATGCGCATGTAAATTGAAATTATGCGAAATACAAAATTTGAACGAGAAAAAAAATGCGTATACGTAATGTGTTTTTTGTGCATTCAGAACAACAAGTGATACAGTTTGCTTGCTGCACAAAAGCGGAACACATTTTTGGCACAAATAAATTATGTATAATGGATATTCCAAATCCCATATAGTGTTTGTTGTAAAAGCACAGACATGCCCTGTTCGACGGCTAAAATTAAAAGCATACTTTATTGTCACAAGTACATAAAGGTATGTATCTAGCTGATATCGGTCTTGTATTTAGCGGTCTTTGATGTGTTGGGATTTGAGGTCATATATGTCGAAACACAAGTGTTATCCTTATAATTAACCAATCAAATTACTTATATAGCTTAATAAGTTCTGTATTGATATTGATATGTTAAGAAAGACTTGTAAGAAGAATTGTCTATTTGTGGATCTAATAGAATTATGAATCATGTAAGCTGAGTCATAATTTTTGAGTGTAAGTTCTGTCTTCTAATGTCTTAATACCATTTATTTGAGAGCTCTCAGCGCTTATTACCAATTTTGAGTTTGCTTTTGGCTCTATTTCATATCATTGTTGTGCTGATTATAAAAAATATCAATGTGCACGTAGTACATAAGATCCGATTAGATGCGTATTCGTGCGGATATCATGAGCACTTATTATAAGGGGTTCTGTTTAGTGCCTCTCTAGAGCAGGGGTTAAACTGAACAATGGCTGACCATCTGTCGCAATCTAAAAATCGCGTTCTTATTGTTAGCTGCATGTAAGGGACTCGGCAATAAAAACACTTTCGTATGACGACAGCAGCTGAAAATACACAAACATATGCTGTGGGTCTGCGCAGTCATGCACCCAAAGCACCCAAAGCATCCAGAGCACCCCAAAACACCCCCCTTGCTGGTTCAAGTACAACGTAAACAAACCAATTTTACTTTAGTCGGAAGAAGATCTTCGCGACGATAGACGACAGTCGGACTGCGGATTGCGAACTGCGAACTGGAGGGGATTAGGTAGGTAGATAGGACATGGCCCATGGCATATGTCTGGCATGCTCATTAGGGGACACAGCGTGGCGTGGCTAATGTGGCAACAAGCAGAGATGGGGGCAGATGGCAGCAACAACAGCAGAAGTTGGAGATGCCCTTTGGGCCTGATGATTTTCATTTGACTTTGCAGGCTCTTGTTTATTTTTGTTGTAGTGGCCTTCACCAACATATTTGTTTCAGGGGCACACTTTCAACTTTTATACTGGGCCTTTCGTCGCTTTTATTGTTTTGTTTCCACTGTGGTAGCCGTCAACATTGTTGTTGTTGTGTTTTTGGGTAATTCAATTTTTTGTCACAATTTTCATTTGTGCAAATTTGAAATGACTGAAATATATTTTTACATAGCCCAACAGGCAGCCGGAGGCTGCATTGGATGTCTGACCGAGTCCTGGCATCATTTCATGCACAATTTGTTTGGCTTTTATTTTTATTTTGCCGCATTGTTAAATTTTCCCTGGCATTGGGTGTGTTTTTTTTGTTCCTCTTTTTTTATTTTGTTTTTTTTACTACCGAAAAAGGCCAACGAACATTTAATGTAACTGCCAGATGAGTCAATTTGCTCACACAACTCGCCCTTAGTGCATACCAAGGGTAGCTTTGGGTTGTTACTCAACCCCCCACCCCACCAGACACACACCACACACACCACACACACACATACACACAAGCAGGATTGTGCGTAAAAGCAAATTTAACAAAAATTCGTAAAGTGTGTGTGGGTTTGTGTGAGTGTGTGTGTGTGTGTGTGTGTGTGTGTGTGTTGGTAGAAGAACGGATTAGTTTGTCGCTAACTTGGCTTAGCCGAAATTTAACAGAGTGTTTTGCAATTTAAGAGAGTGCCAGCTTACAGCACAGAGCAAACAAGACCGTAGCGCTCTTTCATTGTTACGCTCTCTCTCTCTGTCTCTGTCTCTCTCTTCCACTTGATATTGTTCTCTGTCTGTACAGTTAACAGCTGTTAATAACAGCG